GCGCCTGCGCGATTCTCCGCGAGCAGCTGGATGGCACATACAGCGCCTGCTCGAGTCTCCACAAGCAGCTGGAGCATCGCGCAGGCGCTAAGACGCATGCGTGAACTGCGCGCGTGCACAAGGACATCGCTGGCCCCGTTCCAACCAAACCGGTTGGAACGGGATTAGCAATCCACCCCTGGCCTTCCTCCTCCTTTTGTTCCCTACAACAGCCCTGTGAGGTAGGTTGGACTGAGAGAGAGTAACTGTCCAAACTACCTTCCCAGCTGTCACAGCTTTCATGATTAAGACAGAACTAGAACCTACAATCTCCTAGTATCTAGGTACTTGTATTTGAGAGCAAAACAAATACTTTTCAGAAAATGGGAATAGTATACTCAATCCAGATGCCAAAGTCATAAATCATAATTTTACATGTTGACTTTGAAATCTGCCAAAGCACTTATATAGCAATCGTACATCCTGATTTCAATACTGTCAAACTTTTGTTGAATCTAATATTTAAGAGATCTGTTTATGCGAAAAGCTCACCTTAATGGTTCAAGTTATATGTGACCTGCTGGCTATATTTTTTCCATTTCTAAAATAATGTCCTTATCCTTCTACACATCCAAAATCTTTTTTTCATCAAGCAATAAAACGTTCATCTTTCAAATATGATAATTATAGCTTTCAGTAACATCATTAACGATCAAAGAATATCTCTCTTTTGCTTTCTATAATGCTCAATTTTTTTTAAAATATAAATTTATTCTACCTTGTTTCTACATTTAATTTAGTACTGCCTTCAAGCACAAAGAAATTCTGGCACGATTCCCTTAATGCTTTTTGCATGCACTTCCCCAAGATATAAGTATATTTTTCAAAAAGTGAAGAAGAGCACTGAAAATAAATGGGAGAAGTACAGAAACAGAAGAAGAATTGCTTCTAGTTTTGCATAGATAGGAAACTGCAAATTATGTTGATTAGCATTAATAAGTAAGGCAAATTCAAGTTGTTCCCACTCTCACTAAATACGCAAGAAGAAAAAGTTATATAACAATGGCTTTTTATAAGCCATTTTTAGTCTCATATATATGAGACAAACTTTCTTTTCCTGTTGTATCCTTTGTCCAGCTCATTCCAATTATTTGGAAGTTGAATAAACATTGTGGCATTTAAACAAAGAAACTATAAGGAATGGTAATGTGCATAATTAAATATATTCATTGATTGTGAATAATGAAGAATTGTAGAGTCAATAAAAGCTTGACTTATTAGCAGTATCTAAAGATAATTTAATGGCAGGTGTTATGAATTATTTAAAGACACAGTAAATAGATGTTGATCACTGGCTGCACAGCATTGAATTCTGACATTCATGAGCTATGTTGCTATTGGATTCATTCAGAACGTCAGATTATTTGAACACTCAGTCACTTGGGAGAAGCCGTCTTTCTTTTCCATTGACTGCAAGATTTATTGTTGTAGTCTTATTCGAACAGTCTCTCGATGTGCACTAAATGCAGGTAACAGAGCTTTATAATGGGATGTTTTTCGGAGTGATACTTCAAGAATCAGGTTCAAATTGTTCACCTTAGGCCCAAGTGCTAAAGTCAATAGAATCTATTCCCTTTTCCTATTGAAAAGACAAATTGGGCCTGAACTAAAAGAATTTGCCTAGAAAAGAAAATGGGAAAGTTCTGGCTCATTAGGCTATTGGACAGGTTTATGCTCTAAGGTTTAGGCTGAAATTGTAGCAGATTTCTAATAAAATAATCAACAGAAAAGTGGATTATGAAGCATAATGTATGTTGTACCCACCCATCTCAAATATATGTCCTCCACATATGTTGAAATTATAAATCTCAGAATACTAAGCTGCAGAGGTGCACCTATTCGGTAGAACTGGTTCGTCAAATCTACCGAACCGGTTAGAAGAGGTTCCACCAGTGGACCCGGAAAGCAGGCCACACCTACAGA